GCTGCCGCTGCGGCTGCTGCCGCTGCCGCTGCTGCCGCTGCCGCTGCCGCTGCCGCTGCCGCTGCTGCTGCTGCTGCTGCTGCTTGGAAGTAGGCTGCCTGGTACTGCTCTTCCCGTTCTGCATGTTGTGCGCAACACCGAACAGGCAATACTGAAGACGATTCGCACAAACCTTCTGGATCCGTGATAGAAGCCTGTAGCTCAATTCTACAACCTGATATGTGAACCCCAGACCCGAAGCCGTGATGTAGGGGCCTTAATAATTAGAATAGGGTTTTGGGGCTTCCTTATTATCATAATTTCGTATAAATACCCCAAGCCCTATTCTAATTATTCAGGCAGATATATTAAACAATGCTGGTAGGGTTGACGAATGTGGGAGTTTGGAATTTCGCGATCACGATGCCACAGGACGCCAAGCCCAAAGCCACAATCCCGGCCATACCAGTGAAAGAAACCCAAGTCCTACTGTAGTCCCTTTCGGAGGGATCAAATAATACGGATTCTGATCTTGTTAGGGGCCCGTAAATACGGATTCTGATCTTGTTAGGGGCCCGTAAATACTATACTGAACTTGGCACCCTTCCTCGCGCTGTTTCTTTGGGATTATAGTAGCAAAGATTAAGAACTATCTCTCAGCACCCCTGATGAGAACGAAAAAGCGGTCACGAACCTGGGACCTCTTCCCGCCGAACGGCAGACCCCAAACCTCGAATATAAAAGTATACATTATTTCGATAGGGACAGATTCCTATAATAATTTCAGATTATCAATAATCTGGAAGAAATCATCCAAATTTTATACCTAAAATCGACTCTCTTGGAGCCCTGCTTCCTGCTGTTTGCACGGATACGCAAGCGGAGCCCTGTGAATCTACCTCCGAGTCTTGCGGTCCCGCTTCTCTCCTGTAGAGCCGTAGAGGCCGACACAAGTGACAAAGGAGCCCCGTGGACACCCTAAACCCTAAACCCTAAACCCTAAACCCTAAACCCTAAACCCTAAACCCTAAACCGAAATCTAAACACGGAGCCCTCCACCCTCACCCAAACCCCCAAATCCTAAACTCAATGAGCACGCCTGGAGGACAGGACTCGCACCGGTAGCTCTGACCGAAGTCGTCTAAGGCCGCGATCGCGCTGAAAGTCCCAGAAGGACAAAGGCTGCAACCTCCCATAGCTTGGAGGGTTCAGGGTTCAGAGGTTTGGGTGTTTAGGGGTTTAGGGGTTCAGGGGTTTAGGGGTTTAGGGGTTAAGGGTTTAGGTTTTAGGGTTTAGGGGGTTGGAGTTTAGGATGTAGGGTTTAGGGGTTTGGGGGTTTAGGGGTGTAGGGGTTTAGGTGTTTAGGGGATATTATACTAGAATTATGAGAAGGAGCCCCCAAAATCAGATGGGTAATTATTGAAGCCCTCATAGTAAACCGATCCCTTTTAAAGCTTAGTGCATTTAGGCCTAAACTCCGCACAGGCAGGGCAGCAGGACCGGGCAGAGCACGGCAGAGCAGCCTAAACCCTGAACTAAACCATAAACCCTAAAGCCCTAAACCCTAATCCCAAATCCCTAAACCCTAAATCTCGAAACCCTAAATCCGTAAACCCTAATCGCAAATCCCTAAACCCCTGAATCCCTAAACCCTAAACCCTAAATCCCTAATCCCAAATCCCTAAACCCTAAATCCCTAAACCCAAATCCCTAAACCCCTAAATCCCTAAACCCAAATCCCTAAACCCTAAATCCCTAAACCCTAAATCCCTAAACCCCTAAACCCTGAAAACTCGCCGAAGAGAAAGCCCTGGCCTGTGGCTTCCTCGCGCGTCATCACCGCCTGGCCCTCCGCATTGGCGAAGCCGAAGCCAGGAAGGCAGTTGGTGTTGATGGGAATCCTCGGCTTCATTCAGGGTTTAGAGTTTAGGGTTTAGGCTTTAGGATTTAGGATTTAGGGTTTTGGGTGTAGGGTTTCGGGTTTAGGGTTTAGGAGTTTGGGTTTGGGGTTTAGGATTTAGGGTTTAGGGTTTAGGGTTTAGGGTTTCGGATCTGGGGTGCAGTTGGTCTTGACGGGAGTACTTGGCTGTACCAGGGTTACGGCTTGCACCCGAAACCCTAAACCCTATTCCCAATTTAAGCAGTTCTACAGGATTTATGGATGTGGAATCCGTGCTTCGGGCGGGTTTAGGTCAAAGGTAGAGTTGGATTTTTGAGCATTACCGTCATTCGTGTCCGGAAGCGATTCCAGTGCTTCCTGTCCTGAACCTCATGAAACACCGTATGCTCAACAGTACCCTAAACCCTAAACCCTAAACCCTAAACCCTAAACCCTAAACCGGACTGTGGGGACTCTACCGCCACCTTAGTGCCCGAAGAAGGCTAGCAATCCGAAGCCGAGGGCTGAGTCATCGCGAAGAGAAGGACGCACGGCTATCTTAGGCTGCCACTTAGCTTAGCACCACACACTGTTACTGTTTTCTAAACCCTAAACCCTAAACTCGAAACCCTAAACCCTAAAACCCAAACCCAAAACCTAAAGGGTTTAGGATTTAAGGTTGAGGGCTTTGGGGTTTAGGGTTTAGGGCCGACAAACCCATGTAACCGCCCTCACGTCCGGCAGAGACACCAATGCTCCCACTTCCTCCGGTTCGCAAGCAGCCACTGACAGGAGGCGTTCCTTCGAGGGTAATTTTGGGTTCCAAAGTAGGGTCCTTTTTAAGGGTTCTATAGGATTCTACAATAGGATAGGGTCTCCTTTAGGGGTACCAAGGGCTCGCTCCCAAAATGGATACTATTGATTCCGGCATTCCTGGGATCGAGATGTCGACAACTGCTTCGACTCCATGTCCACCGAAACCGCAAGCCGCTTATATCAAATATGCGTAAGCACACAATCGCCAAAAACCCTCAACCTGCAAACCCTAAGCCCTAAACCCTAAATCCCGAACCCTAAACCTGTCAACCCCAAGAAGCCCTCAACCCGAGGTGGTGCCACGGCGAAAGTCTCCATAAAGTGCGGCTTCTTCTTGCGAGTGTACTTAAAATGTAGAGTGTAGGGCTTAGGAGGAAGATTCCTGCAGCTGCAGACCTTTCAATAGTACGTTATTGGGCGTGCGTCTCAGGGTTTAGGATTAATGTAGGGGCCTTAATAATTGGAATGGGGTTTCGGGGTATATTATACCATGCTTAGAATAAGGAACCACCAACCAGTATTAGTAATTATTCAGGCCCCTATGTTAAGTTGTAGGGTTTAGGTTTGGGGGTTTGCTGTACAGTTTTGGGTTCGGGTATCAGGGTTGGGGATTGCAGCTTAGGGCTGTGGATTCAGCAGAGGCTCCGAAATTCAAGATAGTTGCAGGTGGGATAGGATATAGGATGTAGGGCTCTCAAAATTCGCACAGGGCTGCTTCTTCAGGACCCCAAGCCGTGAGCATCAGAGAATGAGGACTCAAAGCATATAAAGCTTGAGATCTCGAAGCCTCTGGATTGATTCTGAGGCATTCCCAACTGCCCGAGCTGAGTGATCCAACTCATCGGGTTTAGGGTCTGAGGGTTTAGAGCTTGGGGTTTAGGATTTGGGGTGTAGGGTTTAGGGCTTCGGCCGGAAACTACAAACCCCTAAACCCTGAACCCTAAACCCTGAACCCTAAACCCCCTAAACCCTTATCCCTAAACACTAACTAAACCCTAAAC